CCGGCCCTGATCCTTGGCCAGCAGCCAGCACCTTGCTCCCTTGGTCCCTTGGAATCACTACTCCAGGCCCTGGTGCCACAAGTTTCTGGACTCAGGGCTTAACCCACAGGACAGAGGTTCGGTTCTGTCCAGCCTCCTTATTCAACATTTAAAGCAGGACCACCATGAGTCAAGCTGGGAGGAAGCCATTTCCCAGGGAAGCCATGGCTGTGACTGCCTGACCCTCTCAACAAACACAAGCCACTTGAGGTCTCATGGATGCTTTGCCTGGGGTCTGCCCTGCAGCTGCTACCTGAGGACACTGTCACCCAGTCTTACCCACACACAAATGACAATTCAGCCAGACCAGCGACTGCTGACATAAGTTAATACATAATTTCTTTGTTTTCCTTCTCTTCTTTTGCTCATGATCAGTGCGCTGTGCGGGCCGACAAAACACCTGAGTGTGTGCTCTGTGCCAGGAACTCCCCGAGTCCCCCAGGGCTGGAGCTTTTCCTGGACCTAGCTTGGTTTCTGGAGGAAGCCCAGCTGTCCTATGGACACGGGCAGGAACTTGTGGTCCTCTCTCTCCTGCCTGGCCCACTCGATCTCGACTCCACCCTAGCTTGCTGAAGAGCAGACTTCACTAGTTCTCTTCTCGGCTGCATCATGGTCTAAGCGATGGATAACAAGAAACAGCATCTGACAAAAGATGCATCACTGCATCATTCATGATGTGCTCTTACTAAGCAATCCTTCCACAGCACCTATCTGTTCAAAACAGAATACTCAATCAGAGTATATATACTCCCATACGGAGTATGTACCTATTTACATTGTTAAACATATGAAAATAAAACTGGGAGAAAATAATTAGGGGCAGGCATTTGGCCCATGGGATGGCCCCATCTTATAGCAGAGCTCCCAGGTTCCAGGTTCCACACCTGCCTTTAGCTTTCTGCTTCTACAGACCCCATGGGGCAGTGGTCAGGGCTCAAGTGATTGAGTTCCAGTCACTCGTGTGGGAAGCCTCGATTTACTTGCTAGCTTCCACCTTCAGCCCTTGACATTGTGGCATGTGAGGAGTGAGCCAGCAATGGGAGCTCTGTCCATCTGCCTCTCAAATGAACAAAATAAAATGATGAGACAAGAGGTATAAACTCAAAAGATACACAGCGTGCCAACACTTATCATAATGTATTGCATTTTTGAAAATCAACCTCAAAGAGTAAATTTACACATTTTCCCCACAAAACCCCGTGCTGTGATGTAAGGCATATATCAATCTTTTACAATATCTACATATCATAGAACGTCGTGTTGTACACCATAAGTACTTACAACTCTTTTGGTTAACCGAAAAGAATCAGAGGCTGGTATTGTGGTCTGGCAAGCAAAGCCGCCACTTGTAATACTGGCATCCCGCAGGGGTGATGGTTCAGGTCTTGACTGCTTTATATCTGATCCAGCTCCCGGATAATGTGCCTGAGAAGGCAACAGAGGGTGATACAGGTACTTGAGTTCCTGTGCTTGCATGGAGACCCAGGAGAAGTGCCTGGTTCCTACGCCTTTGAAATAAATAAATCTTAAAAAAAAAAAAAAAGAAAAAAGAAAAGTAAGCCTAATTAGGCACTAGAGTCTAGAGTTCCTTTTGATTAGAAATGAAGAGCCACAGAGGCCATCCCCAACATGGAATGTGGTCAGCCAATCTCTCTTCATTAAAAAAAGAAAGAAAGAAAAGGAAAGAAAAGAGAAGAAAAAAAGAAAAACGTCTATTTGAAAGGTAGAAATACAGAGAGGGGAGGGGGTAGAGAGAGCTTCTAGACCCCCATTCACTCCCTGAATGGCCTCAAAAGCCAGAGCTGGGCCAGGTTGAAACCAGGAACTTCCGCTAGGTCTCCCACACAGGTGCAGGGGCACAAGACCTTGGGTCATTTTTCAATGCTCTCTCAGGTGCATCAACAAGGGACTGAATTGCAACTGCAATGGTTGGGGCTACAGCCTGCAGAGTCCGAGGGTTTTCATTCATTCTACTTAGTTCCTCATTCCTCTCTAAGCCTCAATTTGTTCATTTGTGAAGTGGGGGGGAAAACAACAGCACCACCTCACAGCCTGGTGTAAGTTAGAAAGCAGACTTGGGCCGGAGGGAGGGTCCGTCTGGGTGTGGCTGCAGCCCTGTCGGCCATGACCACCCTCTCCCCTGCTAGAACAGCTTGTCACTTCTCAGACCCCTATGGGCTAAACGAAGCCATTAAGATAAGAGACTGAGCATTCTGTTCTGGCCACTGAAGCCTGGAATGTCTTCTAACGGCTGTGTGACCCGTTCATATTTCCCAAGAACGTCAGGTACAGTGCATTTAGCCATGGGCCATCTTTATCCAGCTCAGAATAGAAACCCTTGCTTCTGCCTTGGGGTGGGGTGGGAGGCAGGGTTCCTCTCCTGTGCCTGCTGCTGCCCAGGTCCCTAACAAATAGCACTCTCCATGGTTGAGGACTTGTCTGTCTCTTCCTTTGATCCCACCATGCTTTTCCAGAACAGAGGTGGAGTGTCGGACATGGTCAATGATGGCTGTCCGCTGACTGCAGGCAGCAGGAGCTCCGTGTGGCTCGGCTGGCTCTAATGTCAGCACCAGCTGGCTATGCTTGGGCTCACAGAGACAAAGAAAGGCAGCAACGCAGCAGGTGACCCAGCCGGCCCTGTCCACTCACCTCATGAGCCTCCATCCTTATCTTAAAACCAAGAATACAGAAGGATGCCACCTGCCCTGGTCTGTCTGCAGCCCACATGCTGCCACCTTGTACCATTTCTTTCTGTCTTCAAATATTTAAGGGAAAGGCAGACAAAGCTCCCATCTGCGGGTTCATTCCCCAAATGCCTGGCTAGGGGTTGAAGCTGGGAACTCAGTCCAGTCCCCACATGGTGGCAGAAACCTAATCCCTCAAGCCACACCTACTGCCTCCCAGGGCCTGCCTGGGCAGGAAGCTGCAGTTAGCAGCTGGTATGAAATCCAGTTAGTGCACCCCTGTTCCTCCACCTCAAGCTTCCAGCATGGGCATGTACTGGGCCCCAGAGACCAGCTTCAATCCGTTCTCACCACCTCCTGGAGCAATTAGTTAGTTATACTTTTGAACACACAACTATGGTAAGCTAGCTACTCATTCACAAGCATTTTATGAGTGTGCAGTTTTCTCCAGGGCTAATGAAGGAAGTGCTGTCATTATTGGACCAACAGGTGAAACAGCTTTTTATTTTAAAGATTTATTTATTTTTCCTGGAAAGTCAGATATACAGAGAAGAGGAGAGACAGAGCAGATCTTCTGTCTGATGATTTACTCCCCAAGTAGCTGCAATAGCTGAAGCTGAGCTAACCCAAAGCCAGGAGTCAGGAGTGTCTTCCAGGTCTCCCACACAGATATAGAGTCCCAAGGCTTTGGGCTGTCTTCTACTGCTTTCCCAGGACATAAACAGGGAGCTGGATGGGAATGGAGCTGCCTGGACATGAGTCGGTGGCCATAAGGGATGCTGGTTTTTGCAAGGTGAGGATTTAGCCATCAGACATCACACCAGGCCTTGAAATATTCTTTTCTGAATGTACAATTTTATTAGAAAGTGCCACTTTATCAGCAGGTGAATTTCACAGGAACTCAGTTAAGTTTGTGGAATCCTGATGGCAGTGACAACACGAGGTGTCAAGTGTGTCTGGTGCTAGGGACATGAGCAGTAAACCAGAGAGGGGACCTTCATGAAGGTTACATTTGCACTGTGTGGTCCTGAGTGTTGGGGAAGAGGAGTGGCAGGGAGGGAGTGGACACAGGCCAGACGAGGGAAGGTTAAGGAAGCCAGGGGCAGGAATATCCCCATGGTTAGGGCAAGGATACAGGAAAGCACTTTAGGAAGAGGTGAGATGCACACGTTTAAGTACAGGTAAGATGGGGCTGGCATGATGGTTCTCCTGGACAATCCTCGCCCTGCAAGTGCTGAGAGCCTATCCAGCTGCCTGTTCGCATCTTGGTTGCTCCACTTCCCATCCAGCTTCCTGCTGGAAAAGGAGCAGAGAATGGCTCAAAGCCTTGGGACTCTGCACCCAGGTGGGAGACCCAGAAGAGGCTCCTGGCTTCTGGCTTTGGATTGGCTCAGCTCTGGTTGTTGTGGTCATTTGGGGAGTGAATCAGGATGGAAAATCTTCCTCTCTGTCTCATCTCTGTAAATCTGCCTTTCCAATAAAAACAAATAAACCTTTTTTTTTTTTTTAAAGCACAGATAAGAGTATTTTAAAAGTTCATGGAAAATGGAACAAAAACTTATTTGGGTACAAAACAATTCTGAAAGCTATGCACAAGGGTTTCTTGTAATCCCTATTTTCAAGACCTTTCTAAAGCTGTCCTCCTAAGTACACGGGTGTTCATTTCAGCGATATTTGTAAAAGGGACAAATAAAAATGGCAGTAAATCTCTAGTAAGAACAGATTTGTGGAATGTGTCTGTGGGTACGTGCAAGGCAGAATAATAAACAGAAACGTATGTTTAAGATACAAATATCCTTACAACTTATTTGAGGTGATCAAAGGAACAAAATTATCCACACCCATGATAGCTCAGAGATACGGGGATTTTTTTTCTTCCCCTTATTTTTTTTTTTCCCTCTACATTTTCTGCATTTAACTTGTATCATTTTGAGGTAAGAAATGAAAACCTTGGACACTTTTTCATGACCGGCGGAAGGAGAGCTACCGCTGGTCAGTACGCAGGAGAATACTGTGGTGAAAAATTAGGCTCGTTTTGTCAGCAAGCCGCCAGAGAAAGGCAAAATCTTACCATCTCCGAGTTTTGGAAAGTGCAGCATGGAGGCCGAAAATGTCACACACAAAACCCGTGAGGAAGCCATGGCGTTCCTCTCACGGCGTCGCCTCACAGGCCCAGCGCGAGGCGCCCCGGACTCGACCAATGGGAGCGCAGAGGGGGACCTGGACCCGCGGGTGATTGGAGGAGCTGGCGGGGGGCGGGGCTGCGGCTCGCACGGGGTCGCCGTCCGCACACACGCCTCGGCGCCAGTTTGCCGGACGGTTTGGAGGCTGAGCGAGCTCCCGCACCTCGCCTGGCCTGCGCCGCTCGTCCTCCTCGGCCTGACCGCGCCACTCGGCCCCGCCATGCCCGTTGATCTCAGCAAGTGGTCCGGGCCCTTGAGCCTGCAGGAGGTGGAGGAGCGGCCGCAGCACCCGCTGCAGGTCACCTATGGCGGTGTGGTGGTGGACGAGCTGGGCAAGGTGCTGACGCCCACCCAGGTTAGCGCAGGGCGCCTAAGGAGGCTGGTGCACGCCGTGGGGTGTGGGAGGGCAGGGGACTACGCGAAGCGGAAAGGGTTCTGGGGCGGGGGGCAATCCTGCAGCCGAAATGGACCCCGAGGCAGCTGCGAGCTCGTGGCGCGGCGCGGTGTGGCGTGGGTGACCCGCGGGCGGCGGCCTCTCCTTGGTTTTGGCAGCCGGGCGCGAAGCTGAGTGCGTTTTGCAAGCGGGGGCGGACTCGAGGACAAAGGCCTCTCCTGCTGTTTTGGTTCCGGACTCTGCAGGCCCGAGGCTGCCAAGTGTGGAAGGGAGATGCTTCCAAGTCCTTTGTGCTTCCTGGTGACCCGGCCCCGGGCGGCGCTGTGCCTGCACTTCCCCAGGGCTCACTGTTTTTGGAACGTTTTGCGAAGTTGATTATTTTGAATGTTTACCTCGGAAGGGTCCAGGTTAGAGGCAGGCGGCGTTAGCTGCCCTTTTCTCAACCGCCGTGCCCACCTCTCTTCCCCCATCCTTGGCGGCCTTGCTTTCTGCTCAGTTTCATGTCCGGTGAAGGCCAGTTTCAGCAGAGCAGGTCCCAGGCCATCGCCCAATCCGGAGACCTTGACATTCAGAAGTAAAAAGAAAAAAAAGAGGACTTAATGCCAAGGCTGAAGTTTAACCAAAAAAAAAGTTTGTTTGAATCATCCACTGGTTCACTCCCCAAAAGGTGGCACTGGCGGAGGCGGGGCCAGGCTGAAACCAGGAACCCAGAGCTTCCTTGGAGTCTCCTACATGGGTGCAGGGACCCCAAGGACTTGGGCCATCTGCTGCTGATTTCCCAAGGTGCATTAACAGGGAGATGGACCAGATGTGGAGCTGCTGGGACTTGAACTTGTACTCTGTATCCATATGGGACACAAGTCACTAAAGGCAGAGGGTTAATGTGCTATGCCCCCCAAGTTGGGCTCCTGATCCCACCTCTTTTCCAGTAGTGACATGCAGGGAGACTGGCCCCATGATGCTGTTGAGACTAACATCAATAATGTCTATAAAATGCCAATCTCTGGCCTGTTGATGACTTTAATAATCTTGTCTGTTTTCAAAGTCAAACAAGGAATATTGGTTTCTTCAGCATTTCTTTCCATCACCTGAAGATCTCTCAGGAACATGAGTGGGGGAACTGGATTGGAATCATAACAGCTGGGACTAGAACCAGACATCTCCTAGCAGGATAGCTGTCTGATACTGGCAGCTTAACCCACTGCACCCCAGTGCTGGCCCCATCTGGAGCATCTCTGATCTATTGGGAACTGGTTCTTTTCTGCAGGTTAAGAACAGGCCCACCAGCATTGCTTGGGATGGGCTTGATTCAGGAAAACTGTACACCTTGGTCCTGACAGACCCTGATGCGCCCAGCAGGAAGGACCCCAAATACAGGCAAGTTGAAGTGGGGGGCATTTGGGAGGGCAGTGAGAGGCATTCACACAGGACCAGCGTGGTGCATGCCTTTGACTGGATGTCGGGAAGGGGCCTGGTATGAGGTGTTGGCACCTCTGCTCAGCTAGCACCATGTGTTCCTGGTGCAGAAGTCTGAAAACCATTCAAGAACCACACGTCCGTCTGGTGTCTGTGTGTGTGGCACCGTGAGCTAAGAATTCAAGAAGAGGACGGCTTCGTCATGGGTGAAATGATGAGAAATTGGTGTGTCAGCATCCGTGTCACCAGAGCACAGCCACAGTTGCTGGTGCGAACCTGGCCTGAAGCTGTTTTCATGCTGCAGTGCAGTTGCCAAGGGGAGCGGCCATGCGGGGGACACAGGCCCGCAGAGCCTCCAGGATTTGCTCTCGGGCCCTTCACCAGCAGCGTTGGCTGCCTCCTTTGTTCTCCAGGCACCTGCTAAGGCAGTGGAAGGTTTTTTTTTTTTATTGGTGTAAAATATTTTTGGAATCTATGCATAGTTTTTTTTTCATAATTTGCATTTTTCATGAATTAAAATTTTTTTTTCCCTAATGAAAAGCCTATGCCTGGATTCCAGACTTTTTTGTTACCAAAGTAAGCTTATATTCATCTTGTAATTTCAAGTTTCTACATTTCTTTAAACACACCTAGAGTTCTCTCCATGTCTATTTCACTCCCCCAAATGCCCCACAGCAGCTGGGAGGAGGCTGGAACCCAAGCCAGGAACTTCATAAGGTCTCCCACATGGGGAGCAGGGGCCCAAAAGGCTGAGGCATCTCCCCCCCACCGCCACTGATCCCCCCCCAGTATCCGCTGGGGTCTGCACTAGCAGGAAACTCGCACTGGGAGCTAGGAATCGAACCCAGACACTGTGATATATGGGATGCAGGCATCCCAGCTTGGTATCTGTGTTCTTGGGGGTACCTGCCCCAGGGGTCACGTGCCTGGCACCCCTGCACCAGCAGCATAGGAACCCAGTGCTGTCACAGCATGTACTAACAGACTGTCCACGTTCCTCCACACAGGGAGTGGCACCACTTTCTGGTAGTCAACATGAAAGGCAACGACATCAGCAGTGGCACCGTCCTCTCGGATTACGTGGGCTCCGGGCCTCCCAAGGGCACAGGTCAGTAAAGGCTGCTGGGGCCAGGGCAAGGGGGCAAGGCGTCAGCGCGGATTGACCCACATGGCTACCTGTCACCGTCTGGGTTGTGAGAAGCCCTCCCCTGCTGGATGCCAGGTGGCTTGCTCACTACCAGGGCAATTGGCTGCCCAGGTATACTCAGCGCCCAGGGTCGAGTTAGCCCCTGTGGGTGTGCTGGTACCTCAGCTGGACCCCTTGCAGAAGGGGCTCAGGGCCAACAACCTGTAGGAAGCGGGGACTTTGATGAGGATGTTACACTGCCCAAGCTGCTCAGGGCAGCCTTCTGGGGGGGCTGCTGTAGGGTGAGGGAGGCGAACACCCCCATTTGTTGCATAGTTGGCCTTTGCCCTTCAATGGCCCGGAGTTCCTTATTCCTTGAAATGTCCCCGTGATGACCATGGATTCCCAATCCATTATGGAAAAAATTGCCTCTGTGTCTCCTCATAGCTTCACCCTCTGCTCTTGAAGACTTAGCTTGGTCTCTTGCGAAGGCTTGCAGGACTGGAGTAGAGTCGCGTGTACCTGCTGCTGTGGCATGTGGCATGTGGCTTATGCAAGCTGTGAGCACGTGTAGGCAGGCAGAGAGAGGCTGCCGTATTGAGGCTGTGTAGCGTGGGCAAGTACTGCCCACGCTGATGGTGAGACACAGTTTGTTCTCATCTGTCCTACCTCACACGATGTCTGCAGGTACAAGGAGCTCGAGGTGGGTGAAGTGTGGCAGAGTACTAGCTTTTGTCCACGCTGTCCTGAAGGTACAAGGATGTCCCTGGCAAGGACTGCTGGTCATGAACTTGGCTTGCAGCTGGAGATGCAGAAGCTTTCCCGACCCGGGCTGGCTCTTGCATCCCTCTAAGGGAGACAGAAGGCACAGGCTTCCCAGAAATCCATGAAGTTCTCTAGGGCAGTTACCAATTTAGGTACTTTCATTATGGGAGTTAGCCACGTGAGAATACAGCAGTTCTCTTGAGTCGGAACTCTGTTCTCATTAAGAGAGCCTTAAGTAATTCCATCCTTTCATTTTGCTTTTTCCTTTTTCCTCTAGTAGGCTGTCATTTATTCATAATAAAATGCACAGATCAGAAGGGTCCAGAGGGTAAATGTCCACCCCAGTCAGGTCCAGTCCACCCCAGAAGGTTCTTTGTGGGGCCTTGGTCCCCATGTCCCTCAGAGCCACCTGTTTGCCTTTGCCTCTGCATCTATGTCTTTGGCTGTTCTTGTTTGTACACGGAGAGGCTGTTTTCAGGGTCTGTCTGTATCAGTGATTGCTTGTGTCTGTCATGCATTCCTTTGGGTAGCTAAGTAGTCCACCCACCGGTGTAGATACCCTGAGGTTGCCTCCCAGTGGGCGTTGGGTTTCCCCAATATTTGGCTATGGGGTGTATTTGTGCACAGGTGTGTCTCCGTTTCTCTGAGATAAATACACACGAGTCGAATAAGCTGCCGGGTCCCGGGAGTCGCTCGGCAGTTCTCTGGATGGCTTGGAGACTTCCTTATTTGCCTCGCAGCAAATGTGTTTATTTTTATCATTTCATTTGAGATGTGGCCCGTAGTAGGCTAAGATTCTGCCTATGGCACCAGCACCCTGGGCCAAAGTGCTTGGACCCTGCACTGACGTGGGAGACCCGGCAGGAGCAGCGTCTGGCTTTCTGCCATTGTGGGCGTTTGGATAATGAACCAGTGGGTAGAAGATTCATTTTCTCCTTCTCCCCTTGTCTCTATAACTGCCTTCCAAAAATAAATAAATAAACCTAATTAATTAAAATCATTCCTTCAATAAAATTTCTATTTGAAAATTAGAAAGACACAGAACTCCGATCTGCAGATTTTCCCTGAAAACACCTACAGCAGCTGGGGCTGCGTCAGGTCAGAGCCAGGAGCCAGGAGCTCCATCTGGGTCTCTGTTGTGGGGGTGAAGACTCAGGCCCCTGCTGCCTGCCAGGGTGCACAGCAGCAGGAAGGCAGAGTCCAGAGTGGAGACTCAAAGCCAGGCTTCCCAGGCTCGGATGCAGCTGCCTTCAGTGCTGTGCAAAAACAAACTGCCACTCCTGTAGTGGCAACTAAATTCCCAGGGTACTTAAGAAGCAAGCAACTATCCGCCACATCTTTATCTGCCTTCTGCCTCTCCCCACAGGCCTCCACCGCTACGTCTGGCTGGTTTACGAGCAGGATGGGCCGCTCAAGTGCGACGAGCCCATTCTCAGCAACCGCTCTGGAGACCACCGCGGCAAGTTCAAGGTGGCATCCTTCCGCAAAAAGTATCAGCTGGGGACGCCGGTCGCCGGCTCTTGTTACCAGGCTGAGTGGGATGACTACGTGCCCAAGCTGTATGAGCAGCTGTCTGGGAAGTAGGGTGAAGCTCAGAGCATCCCGAGGCCCCTCTTCCCCGCTCCCTCCCCAACCTGAGCAGTCAGCCAGCTGTGCTGGGTCACTTCTTGCTGCCTGTCCGTCGTGATTCTAGACTAGTCACTTGCTCCACATTGTATTTTGGTCTCATCTGAACTCTGTTATGGGGGATGTTTTGGTTCTGTAATAAAGAGTCTGCATTCTGCACGCCAGCCCATCCTGAGACAGCCAGAGGCTTGGGTCTCAGGTGTGCCCAGCAAGGGCCACACGGCCATCAGCCCCTGCTCTGCTCCTCCACTGTTGTTGGGCATGGCTGTGTTTAAATGAGCAGCAGGCACAGGTGACTTGTGTCAGGGGTGTGACATAGTCAGGGCCTGTTCAGTTGATCGCAATTCATCGTGTAAGGAAGGTGATCTGGAGTTGCTTCCCGCTGTGTTAACTCAGCTGTTTGCCTATAGTTGAATGAAAATAAAGACCTGGTGAACAATCTGAACCTCTGGCTGTTCTTTCCTTATTGGGGTCTAGGGTTTAGCCCCTTTCCCTGAGCACCTTCTCCCTGTGCCACGAACCTGCAGCAGGAAGTGCCATTCAAAATTTCAGGTCACTTCTTGATGCTTGCTTCTTACAGGGGCTCCCTATCAGCTGGCCCTGGTGTGTGGAAGAAGCTGGCTAAACACTCACCTGCTGTGTCAGGTGCAGGCCCAGAAAGGTGCCTCTGTCACTGTCCCAAGGTGTTAGCCAGAAGCAGTCCCCTACGAGCAGGAGGCAGGGGTCTGTGCAGATGTGCCTTCCTGTGGTCTGGACTGACAGAGGAGGGCCCCCAAGGTAGGCCTGAGCCTCCAAGCCTGCTCATGGCAGCCCTCTGCTTGAGAAACCTGTAGGAGACAGAGGCAGATAGGTTAAAAAATTATTTAGGATTTTTTTTTTTCTTTTGAGAGTTCTTTACAGAGCTTCCTTTCCCTGGTTCTCTCCCTGGGTAATTCCACTGGCCAGGACTCCTTCCTTATACCCATGTGTGGCAACATTGCGATGGTAATTTAAAAATAGGAGTGTCTGGTATTTTCGTTGATGTTTGTCTCTTCTGTCAGTGGGAGCTCAATGACCCTCCACTGGAGGACTGCTAAAGGGGGTTTTCAGTGTAGGGAATGCAGACTTCCTTTGAATACACAGGTCCCTAGTTGGAGCCAGTTGCTGTCTGTGATGCCGGCATCCAATACGGGTGTCAGTCCAAGTCCTTTCTGCTCCCTGCCTGTGACCTGGGAGAAGCTCAGAAGATGGCCCGAGTGGTTGGGCAACTGCACCCGCCTAGGACACCGAGAACTTCTTCCCTGAGAAAACCCAACAGACTATAGAGGCGTTTCAGCAGGCTGAAAGGAAGCGCCATGCAGTCCTCGCTAAGGTGCTACTTGGATACGCTATCTGCTTCCTTGGTGAGCAGTACTCCCACTTTCAAAATGGCATTGAAGCATGCTGTTTTGCACACACGACAGGTTCTCCCAAAAGTTCATGGGAAATTCAGGTAAGAGAAAAAACAGGTTTCAACAATTTTTGCCACACAAAATTCTACTTCCATTCCCACAAACGTTTTGAAGTCCCCTCACATTTTTATAAAATATACCACTTAGCCCATTTTATATGGATCTACCACAGAGCCTGATCAACATAATGAATGGTTTTATTTCACTGTCGTTCCTGTGCAGCTCATCCCACAATCCAACTGCTTTAATTTCCTGGTATCCTAAGGTAGTTGTGTATTCTGTCTCGTTTTCATCAGTTGGAGGAAAGAGACTGTTTTGCTAAAGCAGATCATTAAAGAGTGTGCATGCAAATGTCGTCATTTCTATGACAAAACAACTAAAAGCCAGAGGGCTATATGGCGTTCAGGTATCTGTCCAGGAATACTCATTTTCAGTAGACAGAGAAGCAGGTCCTCAGGGAGGTTGGTGAACTCAAGGGCCTCACATTTCTCATACAACCCTGCAACTGGATGACTGCAGCTCCCAGGAACTGCCGCTAGCACCTCGTTCTTGCGGCGTCAAGGTCCTTCTTAGTCAAGCACTATTGACTGAGTCCAGACTGGGACAGAGAGGACCTTGATAAGGACAGCACCTGTGACCTCACCGACGTCAGGGAATTTCTACATTTGTCTGCTGACCACACCGAGGTGGACGAAGCAGACCCCAGGTTGTTTTTCTGCTTCACCGTAGACGGACTGTCCGTTTGGGATATGTGCCCCGGAACCGCCCAGCTTTCTCTTCAGGCCCCACCCTACCACTTGGCCTGGTTTTCTTAGATACTTTGTCCTTCCCGCCCCCCCGCCCGATAGTTTTATCCCCTTCCTAATATTGTTTTTAGATATAAATCATAGGAGACTCCACTGTGAGCTGCTCAGGAAACTGGATGGTGATCCCTGACACAGGCTTCGTGGCTGTGTTTGCCCTTGTTGGTAACTGTTGTGGTTTTAGGACCGTCCCTTTCTGCTCATAGTGAACATGGAGTGTCACAGCTGCCCATCCTGCGGGATGCGAGAGTGACCTTCAGGTGACCCTGCCACAGAGCAATTTCTTCAGGTCCAGGACTTAGATCCTTAAGAACGAGAGACTTCCCGAGATTGTCCTGAGCCCACAATCAGAAGCTACAAGTTCTATTTTCTGCTCTCTTATGGTCAGGCATAGAAGATTATTCTAACAAAAACAAATTATCCGTGGCATCCATTCAGATATCTGGTTTCTGATGCTTTCTCTCTGGCCTGCTTTTCTCGCAGGGTGCCCGGCTTCTCGGCCGGGGGGGCTGCTTGCACACAGTGAGTGGGCATGAAGTATGTGTGTGCATGCGAGCATATGTGTGTGTGTGAGCGTGTGTATATGTGTAAACATCTGTATGCTTTTTGTCTCTTAAAGGCAGCCAGGCGCAGGGGGCCCTGTGGCCACGTTCGGCAGTGCTACAGTCTCCAGCCCTGCACAAGAACTCTGGAGACGCAGCTTTACCTGGGAGAGGATCTTCTCGGAGCAGCCGAGGCCAGGGAGGGTGGCTGTCCCTCGGCATCGGTAACTGGTGCACCTGGAAGGGAAACCTGCTACAAGAACACAGCAAGGCGGTGTGATGAACACTTTTATTTACAAATATAATTAAAAGCTCTGACAGTTATCATGCTCTTCCTTGGAACCTGAAAAATGTCTTTTTTTTTTCTTTTTAAAGTGCATGCAAAAGAAGTAAAGCCTTTTTTTTTTCATCATTTTTTATTGTAAGAAAATACACGGTTTGAAAGTGTGAATAATGCAATATTTATGACCAAGATATGGGACTCAGGAAAGGGGTGGGAGGGAAAATCAAGATCAAGATCATCTGACTGAGAGACAGTGTGGAACTCCAAATACTGAATTGGAAAAAGGAGGGGTGGGGAGGAACAGGAGGAGGAAGTAAAAAAATTTTGATCAGAGAAACAGTTAAAATACAATATGAAAATAAGTAATACCTCTCCTTAAATTCCTTCTATACACAAAATACACGATTTGCCAAAGCCCAATTTGTGCTACTGGGATTCTGTGAGCTCCTTAAGTGTATTCACATCCTCTGCAACAGCAGAAAATGATTATGATACAATCAGAATATGCTGAAGACAAGTTAAACTCTTGCCAGCAGGTTCTTAAAAATCACAAGATCTCTTCACCCCACCCACCCACCCCAGCCCCAAAAAAGTAATAATATGTCACCACTGATATGTACATCACAATTAGTTTCTGTAAAATGTATCAAATTTTCAATCTTTAATAAAACTTTGTTTTTTTTTTAATTCCTGATGAATAAATACCAAAAAAATAAAATAAAATAAAATAATGCAGCAGCTAGTTAAGGTGTAAGGCTGCGGCTATTGTGTCTCTCTCCCCCTTGGCATTTATTATTATTATTTTTATTCTTATTTATTTATTTTTTTGCTTTACTTTCACAGATTGGTGGTGATGAGTGATTGCTTAAAGCAATATACATCCACTTTTTTGTTGTTGTTGTTTATTGGTTTTGTTAAAACTGTCTCCAGAGTTTTCACTGAAACATTTTTGAACCACATCCATACTGTGACGTGTACTATGAGTAGAAGAGATGGCCGGGTTTTGGCCAGCACTGAAAGTGGACACGGGGGAGGAAGGGGGCCCCTGATGGAGTAAGAATAAACAGGCACTAGTCCGACACGATGTCAGTAAGAGAGAGAGAGAGAGAGGAGTTGAGAGCAACGCCCGTTCAAATGGGGAATGTGGTTTTGCAGGGTCTGAATTTTTTTCAGCTTTCTTTTTTTTTCTTTTTTCTTTTTTTTTTTTTTGTAAATGGCAAAAAAAAAAAAATTTAATCTCATCTATAGTCCTCCTTAGGAAAATCTAACGTAACCAAATTCCCAAATCCCATTCTGAGGCTTTCCATGTCAAAAGTTTCAATCTCTCGCTCTTGCCTTTCCAGTAGGTACTTTATCCTCTCGCTGCGTTCCTTCTGAAGGGCAGCCAGCTCCTCTTCAATCTGGAATCAGCACAACAAGTGGTTCTTCAGGGGGTGGATCTCCCAACAAGTGGACACACACACACACACACACACACACACACACACACCAAGAATAAACCAGGCCAAAGAAGACGAGGGTAGTCCTGTGATAGGCGTATCTAATTCATTCTATCTGAAACTTTCTCACAAGCCAGAGATGCTGGGGCCTCCCTGGGGCCGGCAGTGCCATCTGAGCCAGGCGAGCAGCTGTGCTGATCTAGGTCAACATGCTGTTTCATCAGGAGAAGCTCGGGAGGAGTGAAAAGGCACTCACACACAATTAGACGGTGCTGCGTGCCCACAGAGAGCCGTGTGCCTCCTGGGTCATTAGTAATTTAGTTCTAGAACAGGAGCTGGGAAAATAGTTTCTACACTGCCTTCAGGAAGCTACTGGAAAGAAGTGCTAATAACTGAGTAAGCAAATAAATGCTGAACAGCGTTGGGTTGCTTTCTGAGGCCTTTTTCTAGTTCACATTCCTGAGAACATCTAGCACAATAAGGATTGGTTATGCACAGCACTATCAGCCTGTTTTCATTCTAACTTTTTAAAAATCAGCCCTACTCACGATTTCTTGTGGTTTCAAAGTAACTAAAAAGGCACGCGCCCATTTGGCTTCTTCATACCATTTAGTGACCTGTCATCATCCATGGGCAGTACCTTCTACATGGCCTATCTGCCAGCCAGAGGGTTGGGAAGGGTGAGGAGTCCACAGCAAAGAGGCAGAAAGGCATGGGCTCTGGGATCAGACTTAGCAGATAACCATGCAGAGCCTTTGTGTTCTGGCCTGTAGGATGGATGTCTACTGCTCAGGAACTCTGGGACTCTAAAGAACATATGAAGTGAAGATGTCTGGCTTCACCCCCCTGCAAACACAGAGGGCTCCACGAATGGGCAGCTCCCTGTTCCACACGCCCCGCCCCCAGGCCCCACGGCATGGACCTGCAGTAACCCGGTCCTACCTTCTGTTCAAGATGTGCTCTGCGCAGAGACACCCTCTGCTCTAGCTTCTGGAGCTCCCGTTCATGTTGTGCCTCTGTTTGCATCTTGATTTTGCTCTGGTAGGCGTTGAGCAGCTCCATTTCCTGCTGGAGCTGTAGCCTCAAGGCCTGGCATTCTGCTTCTTGGGCCTCGTCAAGCCGTAACTGTGGGTACAGAAGATACACACTGTCACACACCCCTCGCCTGCAGCACTTGCTCACCACCGGGAGATGCCCTGGGTACATTCAGAGCGAGGAAGTGGAACAGTGAAGTCTGCCCAATGGGGCTACAGAGTTGTAGGAACACATTCTCATGAGCATGACCTGAAACCAGAGCAGCAGGTGTCAGGACAGTTACATGCCTGTGGGCTTTGGATGTAGACTCCTGAGCTTGAATCCTAACTCACGGTTCATTTAAGATGTCATCTTCTATCTCCCCCTGACCCCTTGTCAACAACAATAGCTCCTCTCGTCTAGGATTTGTGTAAGAACTAAATGAAAGGATTCACATAAAATTCTAGATACACTTCTTCATGGATGCAAGGGATACGATAAATGGTTGTTACCATTATTTGCATTTCACAGACTGTTTCCTTACTTAGATAGCTTCAGACATACTTAGCTCAAAAAAAAAAAAAGGGCAGAGAATCCAACATTCTTATACTCTTTCATCAAGTAATGTTGAGCCCAGTTGTTGAGAATATACACTATCTTGCTAGCCAGCTCAGCTAAAAGCCAAGTGGTTTAAAATCTCTCCCCAACACAAGGTCTCCTTGACTGCCTTACAGGGTGTGCATCTTTAGCGGGATTGTTTAGGGAGGATGCTCACTCCCACCCCACCCCCATCCCAGGTTTGTTTATTTTTCTTAGACAGTAATGGGCCCCTGGTTAACCAATCACACTCTGAATTTATGTGCATGCTTCCATATGGCCCACTGTGCCAAGACACCTATTTTCCTTCTTATTCTTAGTGACAATGAAGAATTTATCTCAATATCTTGAGAAACTACTTTTTGAAACATCCTTAGAATAGTTTTAGCAAGTTATTTGCATGGAGTCTTCTCTGGTGCTTCCAGAGAAATAGACTGCAGAAACAAGGGACGTAAGGTACACAGTGGTATTTCCAAGGTACTCCTAACATTAACCCTGGCCAGGTCTCGTCAAAACCCACGAGAAAGGAAAGACGGCTCTCTTCTCATTTCCCTAGTGAGAAATCTCAGAGATGCCAGACACGATGACAGTGAGCCTGTGTCAGAAACAGGTCTACAGGCCAATGTCCAAGAGCTTCTTGGCTTTCAGTTGGGCTTATTCTGGATTCCTTCTGGATCTGGAGGGTTCCTTGCCAGTATAGGAAGCAAAAGTTTTGTTCTTTCTTATAAGCCTTGAATAACTGGGTGAGCAGTTCATCCCGCGTGCAGGTTAGATGCTGAAATATCTCCATTTAAACAGAAATTTCTAGTATTGTATTAAAAACCTTAATAACTACTGTGACAACATGCTAGCTTGAAATATAAAAGTCCCAGTGCTAGGAATCAGAGGATGTTCTAGAACTCAGTATCCATCACTTAAAGCTACACATACCAAATTTGTCACAATGTAGCATAAGGTTTAGGTAAATACCATGTTTGTCTCTTCAGGTGGATTAGACTGAAGAAAAGGATGTGACAGAAGCATCAAAATGTAGTAGCGGTCAAGAGCCAAGACACACAGGCTCCTTTGCAAATAGGTTCAAATCTAAGCTGTCCTGCCAGTAGCCATGTGGCTGTCTCTGCAGTGTGGGTGGCACAGCCTGGCACTCAAGTCTGGTCAGCTGCCAAGTAAAGTTTTCCAGGGCACAGACACACTCATCCCTTAGAGACTGTCAGTAGATGCTTGTACACTACAGTAGCTGACACAGCTGACCCTGTGATGAGCCAAATTTGCCTACTGCCCCAAGCAAGAGGCTTTATCTCCATAAACCTGCTTCCTTAGAGATAAAGCAGGGTTAACACGCTGAGTTTTTAAACAGTACCTGAAAAGGGTTTCACAAAAATGAAATCACATTTGTAAAACGCATGAAACAGCGCCCGGCATGTGGGAAGCAAGCAGTCGTTACGGGACATCTACAGTGATCGCACGCATACTTTCAACTCTCTGGCATTCCCCTCTCATGGGCAACCAGGAGCCCATGATCTTGACCCCATTCTTTCCGCTCTGACAGAACAACGTTCATCGAACACTTGCTGTAGGCAGGCATTGCTGCAGAAGCTGAAAACACAAAGAACAAGCACCCACCTCTGGCCTCCATCAGCTTTCGGGGCCCCTCTCCTTACCTGGGACCTCTCTTTCTGCACCCCTCCCCTTGCACTCACTCTGACCCCATCCCACTCCTTAGGATGCTCTCACACAAGGCTCTGATGTCCCTGATGGAGTGCTGTTTATTTTCCTGGACCTCCCAGCAGCTGGAATGCTTGATGAATCCATCTTTTTTTGAAATCTTTTCCTTTTGTCTTCTGAGATTGTATTCCTGATTGGTGTTTGCCTCCCCACACTGGAGGCTGCTTTGCAGCTAGTCTATACTTACCTAGATCCAAATAAATGTGTCATTCCTCGGGGCTTTGTCCCGAGCCCTGCTTCTCCGACCTGTCTTCCTCAGCAACCTCCTTTATGTTCTGTTCAATCCCTCACTTGTATCTCTATTTTCGACTCCCCTCCTGAGGTCCAGACTAGCTTAGCGAGTCCCCTGGTGACATCATCACCTGGATGTTTCCCAGGCCCTCAAGCTCAATAGCACCAACACTAACCCATCATTTTCCCCTTCCCATTTTCCCAATCCGTTCCACTTCATATGTTAACATATAGGCAAATGGCACCATCGCCTATCATTTTGCTCAAATCTGGGAAGTGGGAATCATCTTTAATACCTGGTTCTCCATGCTCAAAATGCTCTCAACTCTACATTCATCTCAATCAAACTCTCATGCCCAGCATCTTCATAAATGACTTCCTTATGGCCTTGCCATCACCTTCCAGGCCATTCTCCATTTGACATCGAATGATGTTCAAAAATACAAACCTCATGTCAGGCCCCTGATGAATACTAATACTCTTGAGTGACTTCCCATTGCTTTTCTAGGATAAAAGCCACATCCAAACCTGTAGGTCCTGACAGGACCCGATCCCTGTGCACCCCAAGGCTTAGCCTCATGTTGGTCTCCTCCCGATTCTCTACATTCCAAATACAACGGGTTTCTCAGAATTCTTCAAAAGTGCCGCTGGCTTCTCGTCTTTACACATGGAATTTCTCAACCTAAACAAGCATGTCAGAGAGACTTCTCCCAATTCTCCAGGCCGGGTTAACTCTGCTTTTCATCCTGTTGGCACTTTGCACTTGCTCTGACAGTAGATGGGGCATAATTTTTCAAGATTTGTTTCCTTCATTCTTCTATAGGTCCCAAGAAGACATGATAGGTGGCAATCTTATTCACCACAATATCCTGGGATGCCTGGGACACGGTGTACACACTCCACAAATGCTGGCTGCCTGGAGTGCACCTGCTCCCTTCCTCTAAGAATGTGTGTAAGCCTCTCCCAAGGAAAAAGTCTTCCTTTTCTTGTCTTGTCCTCTTGCTGTAGCCTTCCTTCTCTCCCTTCACTGACAAGGGCCTGGGGAAAGCAGATTCATGTACAGGTCCTCTCTCACTGTGCAATTGCTCTCGATGCACTGTGATAGCTCCCATTCCCACCTCTCCATTCCATGACTTACAATGGCAAAAAATACACTACCAGAGCCCACGGTCCCTGTTACATTTGAAATCACCAATTGAACCTTTCATTTAGGCTTCTGAGGCATGCTCTGTTTCCTCTCTCATGTTTTTGATTATTTGTCTTCCTTGACTCAGCCCTCAGATGCTGGTGCCCATCAGATTCCTTAATTCTTCAATTGTTTTTCTAGAACAATTTCCTGTTCCTAGCAGGACATCTCTTACCCTTACCAACAAGTGACAGCTGTCCTCAATTAGCCATGAGGTCTTTTTGTCTTCATTCTTGACATCCCTTCTGAGCTGCAGCGTTCCAGACCTGTACCTCTCATCTTGGATACCCACACAGCTCAGATACCATGTCTGCTACTTTGCCAGTTACCTCCATGTGCACTCAACTGCTCTTCCGTTCATGTTTCTATCTTGCTAAAACGATCCCACTCTATTGTCAAACCTACCTCTCACTTTGGTCACTCTGTTCTCACCATCTGCCCAGCATGCCGTCAGCCCAGGTCCCCGTCCCTTTTCCTCTGGACTGTTAGAATAGCTTCCTAACAGTCTTGTTACCTTTGTTTGCCACATTATTGCCAGTATCTTGCTGTAACACAAATAGAATCCTTATGTAGAATCCTTAAAACAGAACAGGCTTCAACGACTAGTCACTGTTTACATAACAATGTCCACACTCCTAGCTTTCTGGACTCCTGAGAAATGGTTAACTACCAGTTTCCCTTACACGTGGATTCTATACTCCTGCCACAGCAACCACTTGTTTCTCTAACATGCCATGTTCTATCAGGTTTTGGAATCTCTGTGATGAACTGTATATCCTGCTAGGAAAAGCTTTTCCTCTTTTGCCCTGCATGGTCAACTCTATTATTCTTTAAGGCTTGTCTCCCTGTGAAATCTTGAATTTCCACAGGGCTCCCAACTCCGGTTGCCCAAGACCTTTGGGACCTCTCTCTTGGATTCCCATGATTTTTGCCCTTGAACTCTGGACTCATGCCCACTCTGTCTCCAGATACATGCTTTCCACTTTTTGGACATTTGTGTGTCGTGGTCCCACTTCCAAGCAATCTGTTTACCAAAATGGATTCCTTCATTTCCTTGGCTTCCACTGGAGAACCATCCTTAGATTAGAGGAATTACCCCTTCTTGTTGCCCATATTGCCCAGCACCTCCCACTTTAACTAAGCAATAATAGCTTATCTCTTACTATGCTTTTTTAGTACTGCTTAATTATCTGACCTGTTTTGACTGCCCAGAGTGAGGGCAGAGACCACGTGTCTGTCTAGCTCTCCACTCTCTCTAAGCCAGCACAGAGCTGATCTCAAATGCTTAGCAAAACCTTATGAGATGAATACATGTGTCTGTCTAGCTTTCTCACTCGACTGGGAGCTCAGTGAGGACCAGAACTGTGCCTTGTTTGTTTGGGACTGGCAGCCGGTAAGCCTTTGATGAATGGACACATGATCTTATTTGTGGCAGCTACAGCAGCTCGCCCTCAGGGTCCCTATGCACCATGGGTCTTAGCTGGCACACCATTCCTTGAATTCCATCTCACAGACACCACTCCAGCAGGTATCCACGTAGGCTTGGCTCTGTGAAGCGATGTCATTTCCTCCATCCTTCGAGCAGAAAAACACGGACATCCTAAATGTATGCAAGAAGTATCCTGGGAACAAAAGGCTGGAGCTTGAATTTCCTTGATTCCCAAAGCTCTTGCAGCCATGGCCCCGAACCTAACCACTTACCGCTTGAGAGGCCATCATTTCATTTATACTCTGTTCATACTGCTCTGCCAAAATGGCAAGTTTTCTTGTCTGCTCATCTTTCAATGTCTTTAAGATTGTTTTGTGCTCATTCTTTGGAGTAACTTCCAACTGGTGATTCTTGAGTGCTTTATACTGTTTGGTCTGTACTTTGCAAGTGTCCTGAAACTGTTTTTTAATTTGCATTTCCATGGCCTGTGTGGAAAAAGTGACAAAGGAAACATAAAGACACATTAGCAAGTACAGAAAGTCTCCTATTGTAACGATACAATGCAAGTGCTGAGTGCACTGTTAGTTCAGTGACCCACAAAACTAGGCGGTGATAATGAACATGGATCAAAAGTTAACCCAACTGATGCTTTATGTTAAAGCTGCATTTTCAAATGGTTTCAGAGATAAAACAGATTGCAACAGGGAAAGACAGCTTTGAGCAGACTGTGGGATATTATAATGCCCAGCCTGTCACAAGGTTGGTAATGATTTTCATGGTTTCCTAGTCAAAGTCTTTAGCATCTGATATTGTTTGGGGTTTTCTTTTTTCCTTTTCTTTGCCATGTCCGCGTGAGAAGGGGGCTGCCATCATATCAACTAGCTCCCACTGCTCTGGCTGACAATGTTTTCCTGGCAAATCAATACAAGACAACACCTGGATAGTACTTCACATCCAAACCCATTTACACTGGGTTTTAGCACAAAGGAGGAGAAAAAATAAAAGGTGATTTTGAATTTCTTTCTCTTCCCCATGAGGAGGCTGTGCTTGCATGAAGCAATGTCAAGTGTGCGTTTTTGTCGAGGAAAAGCTAGAGCAGACGAGTAAGACCAGAAGGCGCTCCTTCAGCTTGTCTGGTCACATCTGCTTTCTAGGACACTCACAGGACTTGTGATAATAGAGGGCCTCATGGGGCTGGCCTGGTGGCTCAACTGGCTAACCCTCCACCTGCAAGCACCTGCATCCCATTTGGACATTTGTGTTCTGGCTGCTCCACTTCTCATCCAGCTACCTGCTTTATGGCCTAAGAGAGCAGGGATGATGGCTCAAAGCCTTGGGACCCTGCACAGGCATGGAGGCCCAAGGGGAGGCTTCTCACTCCTGGCTTCATGTAGGAAGTGAGCCAGCAGATGGAAGATCTTTCTGTCTCTCCTTCTCTCTGCCATCTGCCTTTCCACTAAAGATACAGACATCTTAAAACCAGAGATTCCTATTGAGACAGCTTGGAAATCCCTGTCTGGAAGGCACAGAAGCATGCCCAGTATGATTAAGGTTGACTTCCTCACTGTGCCAAAACAGACAATGTCCTCCTTGGCATGTAGCAATGGCTTAGTACACAGAACTTGTTATATAGTAGCCAGCCATCTAGAATCAGTCTGAGGCAGTGTGGGCCAAGGGCGTTCCTCCATACAGGAACATTCCTCCACGCAGGGGGAGAAATGTCTGGTACCTGCAGATTGAGGTCCCCTGTCCCATGCTTGTGACAGATATCCCTAATAAAGCACTCTTTCCTGCTATGCTGGGATCTGGCTGCAGAACCCTCCCAGAAGGGAAAGCAGCACTCAAGGCAGCTACTACCAATAGAACTCTCTCGTTTCCTTCCAGGCAGCAGCTCGGGAAGGACTCAGAGAGAGGACAAGCCAGAGATGGTGAGGTGCAGTGGTCCCCAAGGCAGCTTGGTCAGCAGCTCCTCCTCGGAGACTCGCCAAATGCTGACTCTTGGCCTTTCTCCCTGCGGATTCTGATCCAGCGGGTGTGACTTGGAGACGTTACCCAGGTGACTCTGGCAGTCTTGCCAGCGGAGGAAGAAGTGACGATCCCATCCAGGTCCATCCTGGGCACAAAGAGGGTAATACTTGTCGTGTCTCTCACCTTTAAGTTTTTCGGCTGTTGCCGAAGTTCCATGACATGCTTTCTGTGCAGTTCCCTTTCTCGCCTCTTATTGTACTCCAGCTGGTTTTCCAGCTCAGTCTGGTGCTGTAAACGGATCAGATCCATGCGTAGCTTCTGTAATGTGTGCAGCTGCCTGTACTCCAGTTCTCGGGTGGACTCGTCGTGCCGGATCAGCATGGCGTGCTCCATCTCCTTCTGGGTCCTCTTCTTGTTGAGTTCCTGCATTCAGGAACAGAAGACAAATGGGCATGAGTGGGGAGGAAGTAGAAGGAATGCAACACGGGGTGGCGAGGGACGGCACTGCTGTCTCTGTTAGTGCAGCCAGGAGTGTGTGGCAGCATGGCTTGGGGAATTAGAATCACAATCTCTGGAGGCTTAGGTTCTCTCTAGGGTCCTCCACTCATCAGATGGGCACGTTCCTAGCAATCACCACTAAGCTTTCTATAAAACAGGATCAATTCTACCTGGTCTCTCTGTTTACCCTAATTAGGTGATGTGCTATGTTTATGTCTTAATGTTTCTTCTGTGAAACCTCTGTCTGCCCATTCAAGTCATGAGAGGAAGTTGTTTGAACAGAAAAGATGCTCCACTCCCAAAATCTGAAGTTGATATAAGCATCTGGGGAGGGGACCTGATGGTAATGTTTTAAGTGTTCTCTAGGTGATTCATATGCAATCAAAGTTGAAAAACTGAATTAAGCTGATAGTGCCATGTCCTTTAGTTTATGAGAAATTCTCTGCTTGTACCTATGTTTCCACCACGCACATGTAAGACAATGCATGGCCCCTGCTTCCAGCTTTGGACCAGCTTATTTCTGGTCAGACATTTGGAAACGCTGTTTCCAATTCAGACATTTGGAAACGCTGTTTCCTCCTCTGAACTAAATAACTAAAAACATTTTTAAAAATATAACAATTATCAATTTTTCAAAAGATTTATTTATCTATATGAAAAGCTGAAACAGACAGAGAGAAAGGAGCAAATAAAGGGACAGAGATTTTTTCTATCCACTGGTTTACTTCCCAAAAGGCTGCAACAAGCCAGGGGTGCGCCAGGCCAAAGTCAGCAGACAGGAGCTTCTTCTAGGTCTCCCCTCAAAATGAGTGCAAGGCTCCAAACATTTGGGCCATCTTTTGTTTCTTTCCAGGTGTTATTTAGCAGGGAGCTGGATCAGAAGTGGAGCAGCTAGGACATGAACTGGAGCCCATACTGGATGCAAACCCGGCAGGCATTGGTTTAACTAGCTACACCACAGCTGTGGACCCAAATACCTATTTTTGAAGATCTCAGTATTTAATGCATGATAAGAAAAAGCATACAAGATCTTTCCCCTTTCATCTTTTCTATTATAGCCTATCTGACCACTTCCAGAATCTATTCCTCTGTTTTTCGTTTTGTTTTGTTTTTCGTTCTATTAACGTTTGTCCTTCCATCTCTTTTGTTCTTGTTGTCAGTGTGGTGGGGGTGGGAGAAGGGAGATAAAGTAGAAATAAAAACGGGAAATTGGGTGAGAGTTATTTCATTCACCTATTTGAAATTGTTACTATATACAGAGAGCTGAATTATGTCCTTTATGTACGAAAAAGTGTAAATCATGACACGAGCAACTTGCTAATATTCGAACAGGAAGTTTACAGACATTTGTTAAGGTACAAATCCATACTTGGCTCACTGATGACTGAAGTTGACAGGTGGCTTAACCTGGGTCAACCTATTTTCTGTTGTAGGCACTGGGGATGGGGAGTCAGAACTCATTCCTTTCTGCAGTAGCTTGGGGCTGTGCGGCTTATCAGACTGTAAATATAGCAGTCTGCTGCTCTCTGCGCATTGAGGATCACAGGAAACTGGGATAGGGAGCAAGCAGACTAAAAGAGAACGGGGGGGGGGGGGTGTAAGAAATGCAATCTACTGATGCTGAAATGTCTGACAGGTGCCCGAGTTCTCCTATCGGTGCTGTATCACTGCTACTGCATTTTATGAGATAGTCCTTCATTTCTACACTAAAATCCATGTTTTTGGTGGAACTAGAGCAATGAGGCACCTCTCTTCTCCAACGGCATCCTCTATGAGAGAAAAAGTGTCACTTGTTTTCACAGAAAACATCAGCATTAATATCTTGGTGTGACCTGTGGGTATGTTGCATATTTGGGTCCTTTGTTCCTTTGAAGAAAGTCCTTTTATATGAACAACATTTGATACAAGAGCACAGTTCATAATCATTCATTCATTTACTAATTTATTTAAAAACTTGTTGAGCACTTACTATGTGTTGGGCCCGAAGGTACTTGGTACAAAGCAATAAAACAGCATACCCCCCTCATTGGAACTTATTTTCTAGAGCAAAAATATCTAAAACATAAAAAAGATTTTAAGCTTGTCTTACAGAATAAAGGGTAATTTCCTATAACATCTCTCTAATCTCTGTGCTTTTTTCTCCTCTTCACCTTTTCTTCCTCTTCATCTGCACCATCAAATGTCTTCATTTAAACATCAGTAACTGACTGGCCTCTAGGTGGCACCATAACGACAGTGAGCCATAGATGAGAGCTTTCCCAAACCAACCGGAGTCAAAGAAAGTCCTTTAAATAGGCACATGCCCTGGTCCTAGGCCATTACATCATTTTTGATTGAAGAATTCCAGGAGGCACAACACTGAGCATCCATACATTTATATTTTCCTGAATTGAGAAGTTCAAACTGCTAAGTCTAAGCTGCCCATAGCTCTGTAACTCAAGGTGATGAGCGGAGGAAATGTAAAGAAACAAAGCAAGCACAGGCTTTGAGAAGAAATTAACTTTGCCTCTCTCATTGTTTAATGAACTGCTTCAGATACTGCCCCCTGTGTCTGAACTACCTAGGATATAAGTAATGGATCTTCAAGACAAGCTAGCCAGGGCCCATCACAATGGCTCAATGGCTAAATCCTTGCCTTGCCAGCACCAGAATCCCTTATGGATGCCAACTGTGTTCTGGCCGCTCCACTTCCCATCCAGCTCCCTGCTTGCAGCCTGGGGAAGCAGAGAAGGATGCCCCAAATCCTTGGGACCCTGCACCTGCTTGGGAGGCCCAGAAGAAGCTCCTGGCTTCTAGCTTTGGATGGGCTTAGCTCTGGCCACTGTGGCCATTTGGAAAGTGAGCCAGTGGATATAAGAGCTTTCTCTCTGTCTCTCCTTCTTTGTGTAAATCTAATAAAAATAAAATAAAAATTTATATATATATAAAAGGAAAGATAAGCTAGCCAGCTGACTTTCAGACGCACTCAGAGTCAGTCCTAGCTTCTCGATTGACTCATATGGCTTTGGGAAAGTCTCCTGATCTACACTTTAGCTTTTTGGGTGTATAGGGATAACAGTAGCCAAGAAAGCCAAGATGCCAAGAAAGACCATAAACAATGCTTCAGAATGTGCAAACATGCATTGTTTTTTCTGCATTCCAAAGTCAATGACTAGCATATAATAGGTTAACTCAAGTTTTCATAAACTATCACTACAGGGAGAGAATCAACATTTTTCAATTAGACTGTTCCCTTTGCTTCTTTGCTTTTAATTTGTACCTGAGTTGTTGGCTGAGCTATGAAATGGCATGCAAAATGGTATAAAATGTTTAACCCAAGGGGGAAAAAACAACCCACATCATTTGGCTTATTATGGGTCCAGAGTTGTGCCTACATAGTAGCATGCAATGTGCTTTGAATGTTTAAAAGTCACTTTACGTATCTCATTTGATTCTACCTGTAGTCTATGAAGTGATAAAATTTCAAGAATTTACCCCCTTTATACACGAAAATAATGCATTCGTGGTTGAGAGGCTAACATCAGAGCCAAAGAGCTACAAAAAGCAGAACTGAGGCTAAAACTTTGCAGCCGGTACTGTGGTGTAGTGTTGCCATTCCATATGGGCACTGGTTTGAGTCTCAGCTTTTCCACTTTCAATCCAATGTGCCAGAAAAAGCAGTGAAGATGGCCCAAGTGCTTAGGTCCCTGCCACCCATGGGGGAGATTTGGATGAAACTTCTGGCCTCAGTGTGGTTCAGCTCCAGCTGTTGCAGCCATTTAGGGTATAAGTCACTGGATAGAAGATTCTCTCTCCTTCTCTGTGTATATGTGGTTCTCCCTTTCTCTCTCTTTTTAACTTTGCCTTTCAAATAAATAAATAAATCTTAAAAAAAATTAACTCAGGTTTTTAGGTATTCAACATTTCCCATTAAAAGATGTCCCAAGGAATGGCTTTTCTCAGTTTTGTAAGGTTTTAGTTGGTGTTACAAGATTTTGATGCATTTCCTTGCTCCAACCACAGACAATGCTGTGGCTGCTCCATCTGTACAAATGACACATTATACATGAGAGCCACACGATGTGTGCCTTTAGTTAAATTCACAAAAACAAAAATAAAGCCAGCAAATGGAGTGGTACTGAGATTCCTGCCCATCAAACCCTCAACACAAGCACTCCCTGGAGCAAACATGAGGTCAGCGAAGCCCAGCGTCCTCCTTCCTTTCAGCCCATATCACATACTGAGAGCATCTCTTGAAGCTGAGTCTGAGCTTAGGGTTGAAATGAACGTGCTTCCCCTAAGCACACTGCCATGCTTTGTGCGACCGACTTGCTGTGGAGTTGTCGCTCCAGGAAGTGTCTCTTGCAAATATCTCCTTCCAAGCATCCTATTTTAAGTTCCAGTGGAAGTGGAATCAGCTCGTAAAGAACAGCTGACCCAGTTCAGGATGCACTTTTCTATTCATGCTCGCTGAGGTCAAGTCAGAACTAGCATTCAACGTTTTAAAGAGAGATGTTGTTAGCTTATACTAGTTAATGCTTAGTTTCAACTGGCTGGAAAATAGTCAACAAGTGTGAACAGGATCCCTAACATTCCAGTTTAGGCAAAGACACAGGAAAAGTACTTTCTGGAAGGAAGTATAAACTTCTTGAGAGGGCAATACGCACTTAGAAATTAAGACCTGTAAACTCTTGTGGCCCCCAAATTCTACCTCTGAGAACACATCCTCCAAAAATGCTTACGTATGTGTAAGACCATTAGTAGATGTTTGGTTTTTTTTTTTTTCCTCACTCTGTAGCATTGCTGAGAATATTGCATCATTGCAACAAATGGCCAACGAGAAATGGGTCATTAAATGAATGTTCTTATAGTCATGGATCTACTGTTACTATACTAGATTAAATCTAGTATTAAATCTATTTAATCTAGTGTTAGATTAAATACTATTAGGTTAAAACGATGAGATATGGCTGCCATGCCAGATAGCAAATAGCGAGAAGAATTAAAGTAGAGTGCACATTGGTTACTATTATTATTATTGTGGAATCAGCATCCATTTCCCCTCTTTTTAGCTTTGAGAAACTACTCAATCCTAACTGGTCGGAATCAGAATGTTGAGTAATAGGTGGGAGGATCACCCAATCAGATTCTCTTGTTCCTACTTGTTGAAGTCTTGATCAGAAATGATACAAAGAGTACGACACATGCAAGCAGAAGTGCCTCGAGGGGCAGGCACTGGTTCTCGCTTCCTATGTTGTGGCAGTTGCTTCTCCAGTGTGCTTCTCCACCTTTTCCACTTGTCAGCTCTGTCACCTGCTTCATATCTTTCTAATAAACGTCTTTCCATGCTTACCTCAGCCACAGCTTGTCTCTACTGCTTGCAAATCACATGACCCGCAGACATAAAAGCAATCTCATTTTGGTAAAGTTAAAATAATTTGTAACACATAAGCTGTATGTACTTTTATAGCGGAAGAACCTAGAAAGGTATATGTCAGATTGACGCTGGCTGTCTACATGCAGAGCTTGGGCAGCCTAGGAGCCCAGAGAAAGGAAGCAGGGCAAGGTCGGTCAAACGGCACATGGCTTCCGTCGTGATATTTCTGGAGGTGACATACTTAAATAGGACTGCACTGCAAACCCATAATGTGCTGAGAAGAGAAATGTGAAGTTAAATCTTACACGCACACACACACATGCATATACACATGCATACATGCATGCAACCCCAATAATGGCAGTGTAAAGTGACGTATGAACATCTTTCAGAAGTTAGTGGAAACACACACTAGAAAACTATAGATTTTAAGATTTTTTGCACCAAAATAAACACGATTTGATTCCATTCTCCCACAGATTTTCTGAAGTGCTCTTATATATGTCAGTTAGCGTCAGTGATCATTTCACAATGTATTCATATATCAATATATGAAGTTATATATCATAAATATAAGCAAAACTTATGTCACTGGTATCTCCATAAAGCTGTTAAAAAGAACCTTTACTACTAAGCTTTAATATATTCTATGTAAGTCTTTCTTCAATGTTATTTTATTACTTCTGTAAACCAAAAGAAAAACTGAACATTTTCCTGAAAATTGCTCTAAAATCAGGAAAACTTGGTTTCTCAAGAAGAATGCTCCTTGGGGTGACCTTGTGGCATAGCGAATAAAGTCACCATTGTAACACCCAGCATTCCATATAGGCATTGGTTCGAACCCCGGCTACTCTACTTCCTATCCAGCTCTCTGCTCATGTGTCTGGAAAGGCAGCAGAAGTCTTGGGCTCTGCTCAAGTCCTTGTACCCCTGTACCCAAGTGGGAGGCCTGGAAGAAGCTGTTGGTTCCTGGCTTCAGTCTGGCCCAGCTCTGGGTGTTATGACCATTTTGGGAGTAAACTAGCAAATGGATGATCTCTCTCTCTCTCTCTCTCTCCCTCACTTTGAATCTTCCTTTGGCTTCCAACTTCATAAAAAAATAACAAACAAGCAAACAAAACACCTTTATCAGTCTGGAGCCAGCAGCTTCTTCCGGGTCTCTGATGCAGGTGGCAGGAGTACAAGATCTTTGACCATCTTTTGCTGTTTTCTCAGGCAAATTAGGAGGGAGCTGGTTTGGAAGTGGAGCCCTCATAGGATTTCAGCACTGCAGGCAGAGGCTTAACCTACTAAGCCATGATGCCAGCCCCAAGAATGTATATTGTAATCAATCTGTACCTTACCACCAACTTGGTCAATCTCTCTAAGGCATAATTTTAGACATCACTGTCCAGCTCAGGTAAGTGCAGCAGATGCTTTCCTCTGCCAATAACACAAATGAAGAGCTCAAGCCTGATCTATAATACATGTGTCCAGTACATTTTACATTGCTTCACCCTGGTTTTCCCAAGATCGGATCCTGATTCACTTTACCATGAACTGTGCCAAAAGTGCTTGTTTGTTTCAAGCGGTGAACACATTTTTTTAAGGCAAACTTTGATATTTTTTATTAATGTGGTGGCTCACTTAGAAGGTTTTTTCTGATTACCCCAGGTGGCCCAAATATCTGGTGTCTTTAGTATCTGCAACTGATTCACATTCTGAATTCTTCAGTTTAGTGAATGCCATCATGTCCACCCAACCCTCCACATTAGAAACTTGGAAGGGTTTGTTGAATTCCTCCCCGCTTCTGAAAGTCCCACACTCATTGGGTAAGAGCCACTATCAGGTCTGCTTCAGGAATGTCACTTAGATATAATCTTACCTTCGTTTCTCCTGCCTCTTCCAAGCTGGATTAGAGAGAGCGCCTAAACTAATCCTTCTGTCCTTGGCTTATCACCATCCAGCCTAGCGTTATACCTGTGGCACCGGTTCTTCAAAATCAAACAGGGCACGCTCATGCTTAGAAGCCTCTGGCAGCTATGAGTTTAGATCTGAATTGCTTGCCCTCAGCCAGGCTTCTACAACCTCACAACTTCCTCCAGCTGTCCTCGCTCTGCTGCTCCATGTCACATACCCACAACTCCAGTCACACTCAGCAGCTCTTCAATCCCTGAATCCTACAAGCCCTTCCATTATTTTACACATGAGATACTTAATTTATATGACTATTTTTGCACCTAACATGTTTGATGATCATTGGTCTATTATACATCTGTCTCTTCTCTTAGACTTGGAGGGAGTATGGCTTCTCAATGGCCTTGACATCCAGGCCAGTGTGTCTGGCACGAAGAAGGCCCTTGGCAGGTGCTGCGTGACTGAGGAGATGGACTTAATTTCAGAGCCACGCTATCGTCTGAATGTCTCATCTGGAGTCAGAGAAAGACAAGCCTTTGACCCAATCAGGCTGAAAGCAAAAGTTTTCCAGCCTATTTCTTTTGAGTCTTCCCTGCGTATGGCTTACAATATAATTCTTTACTTGTCTTTGATTCCTTCTTCTGCTACGAGCTTTCTCTTACCAAAGGTAAATGCTTTCCCTGATTTGTTGTGGTCTACCACTCAGTGTCATGCACCGTGCTAGAGGCCACGGAGATAAGAATCTAGGGATGGATGGGACAGAGATGCGGTCACCATACCCCAGCATGGCTTATCGCATCAGTGGCAGTAGATATGAACACAGCAATTACCTCCCGAATGTTCTGCTGCTCCACTTCGTGCCGCTTGACCATGATTTTCCGCTTGAAGAAACGACAGTTTTTGTCGTAGTACAGTCTCTGTTGAGTGAGAAGGTGGGCTTCCTCTTCAGCTTGTGTGTGCTGCAAGTTTTCTTTATGCTTGGATATCCTTTCTTGCTTTTCTTTCTTGGGTGTGCTATGGTCTTCATTCATTTCCTAAACAAATAAAACAAAGAACAAGCCACTCAGTCAAACAAAAGGAACCACAACAGATGAAATTATTTGAAATCATTAATAAGTGACATGGAAAGACAGAAGGGTTTGATATTGAACATATCAACTGCCCTCCAACCTCCTTTGCCCCCTTTCTCAAAGGGATACGCATGAGTTGCTAAACTTGTGAGCCCACCAGCCTGTCACTCTCAGAAAGTTTCCTCATTCAGTCAACACATCCTGAGTTCCCATCCTGTCACAGGCATTGTGTAAGACATAATGATCCAATGGAGAGCAAAAGGACACTCTAACGGGGTTTAACAGAATAGGATTCAAAACTCATCCCAAGAGCTACAGGAATGCACTGACAGCCGTGCTGAGAGCTGCTAGGAAGAGGGTGTCCTTGTTCCTATCGGAACATTTCACAGACAGGTTTTGAATGTGGTAAAAACTAACCTGAAATTTGAAAATGTGGTATGTGTTAATCAATGCAACATAAGAGAGAAGAAAACCCTAGGGAGAGGAAATGGTGTGGGCAAAACCCTTGGGGTCGGGGAGGAATGGTGGCTGGGGGGTTTGACACAGATGATGGCAGCTTGGTGACAAGGCTGAGAAAAATGGGCAGATTTCAAAAGACAAGAGGTGATCGTGTAAGTGTCATTAATTTGAATTTCCGGGAAAAGCAAGCTTCATTGTTATTAGAACATTTAAACATTTTTTTCTAGGTTTTTAAAAGATTTATTTCCATCTTTTATAAAAGAACATGTAGCACATTCCGTTCCCCATATATTCTTGTAGCAGCTCACGAATGTAGTGTAGCCTGCAAATGATATCAGCTACCACACCATGCCATTTCAGTAATTCCAAGAAAGGAAAGCTAAAAACTTAACAACCACCTTTTAAAAATATTTGGTAATTTTTTTCTTTTTTTAAGTTTTATTTAATGTTTAAAGATTTATTCATTTTTATTGCAAAGTCAGATATATAGAGAGAGAGAAGGAGGAGGAGAGAGAAATATCTTCCATCCAATGATTTGCTCCCCAAGTGACCACAATGGCCAGTGCTGCACCAATCTGAAGCCAGGAGCTTTTCTGGGTCTCCCACGTGAGTATAGGGTCCTAAGACCTTGGGCTGTCCTTCACTGCTTTTTTTCCAGGCCACAAGCAGGGAGATGGATAGGAAGCAGGGGTGCTGGGATTAGAACTGGCACCCATATGAGATCCTGGCACATTCAAGGCAAGGACTATAGCCACTAGGCTAATTTTTATTGAAGAGTCAGATATACTGAGAGGAGGAGAGACAGAGAAGAAGATCTTCTGTCTGTTGATTTACTCCCCAAGCGACCAAAACAGCCAAAGCTGTGCCAATCTAAAGCCAGGAGCCAGGAACTTCTTCCGGGTCTCCCACATGGGTGCAGGGTCCCAAGGCTTTGGGCTGTCCTCAACTGCTTTCCCAGGCCACAAGCAGGGAACTAAATGTGAAGTGGAGCAGCTGGGTTTAGAACTGGTGCCAAATGGGATCCTAGTGCATACAAGACGAGGACTTCAGCCACTAGGCTACTGCGTCAGGCAATATTTGGTATTTCTTTATTATTATTATTATTATTATTATTATTATTATTATTTTATGATACATAGGCCCTGGGATTTTCCTTACCCCTTCCCCAATTCCTACCCCCCTCAACTGAGTTCCCCTAGATTATTACTATAGCATAGTTCTTCATAAACAGTCATATATATGTCCATCATTGCAGGCATGGACAATGGCAAAGAATCCAGCATCCTACTGTCAAGATATAGTTAACAGTTCTATTGGGAGTCCATCTTTGATCTGGAAGTAGAGATGCATTCTGCATTGTATCCTCACACCTGGATATAACAGCTGCCATTACATAGTTACTATACATCGCCTTCACTGAAAAGCCACAACACAAAATCAACAACAGGAAGTAAAAAAATAAATTAATGCCATGCTTCTGAATGTCTAATGTGTTGCTGAAGAAATGAAAAAGAAAATTAAGAACCTTCTTGAAGCAATGATGCTACTGTATAATGTATCAGTCAGTGAAGAATTTAATGAGAAAGTGTTTTGAAGAGATGAAACTTTAAAAAAAAAATCAAAATCCATGAGATACAGTTTCCACTGCTCTTTGTTGGTGATATATGTCTCCTGTAGGCAACAAATAGATGGGTTTTGTTTTTTTTAATCCAGTCAACTTTTCTATGACATTTGATGGATGAGTTGAGCCATTTACATTCAGGGTTAATATGAATGGATGGTAATTTGGTCCTGTCATTTTAGCAATGGGCTGTTAATTGATTTAGTCTTCTGTTGTCATTTTACGGGATGTTCTTCACACTTGCCTTTGGTTTCGGTGGGTGCTGTTCCTCTTGTCTGCCAAGAGAACATCTTAAAGTATCATTTGTAGGGCAAGTTTGGAAGAGGCATATTCTTTTTACTTTTAACTTCATTGTGGAAGAATTTCATTTCATTTTCAAAGACAAAGCAAAGCTTTATTGGGTATGTCATCCTGGGCAGACAATTTTTTTCTTTTAGAATCTGGAATATGTCACTCCATTCTCTTCCGGCCTGTAGAGTTTCCTATGAGAGGTCTCCTGTGAATTTAATTGGCATTCCTTTATATGTTGGTTGATTTTTTTTTTCCATGGGTGCATTTAAGGATCTTTTCCTTATTTTGATTAAAGAGAAATGATTATCCTGTGTCGTGGTGAAGATGGGTTTTGGTTAACTCTGTTGGGAGTTCTGTGTCCCTCCTGAATGATGTTTCCCAATTATTTCCCTAGATTAGGGAAATTTTCCCTTATTATTTCATTGAATATATTTGTAAACTCAGATTCTCTTTCTGCACCTTCTGGGACTCCCATAACTCTTATATTTGGTCTTTTAATAGTGTCTTTCAATTCCTGAATACTTTTTTCAGCTTGACCGAGCTCTGCTACCAGCTTTTTGTTTGTTTCCCCCTGGTGACTGGAAGATACTTCCAATTCTGAGCTTCTTTCTTTTGCTTCATTCAATTTTGGAGACTCTCCACTGTACTTTTAATTGTCTTCACTGCATTCTTCATTTCTGATATATCAGTTTTCATTTGATTCATTTCCTGTGTGACATATTCCTTAAATTCCTTGAATGCCTGCTTTATGTGCTTCCTGTTGTTAAGAAGCTTTATACCAAGTGTTTTAAATTCTGTGTCCCCCATTTTCTCGATGTCTTTCTCAGTACACTCTGAGGTTGGCAAAGAGTTTTGTTCCTTTGCTGGGGAGTCTTCAGTAACATTCATTGTGCCTTTGTCTCTTCTTTTGCTCTTGGTCATTGTACTTCTTTCTAGTTATCAGATTCGTCTCCTTGGGGCAGGTTTCTAAGCTGTGTCACCCACAGGTCTACAATTCAATTTTACTTATTGTGTTTGGTACATGGCTCTTTGTTTTCAGTCACTTGTGCCACTCCCTCCAGCGAGTTCCAGGTCTGGGTTCTTATGTCAGTCTTCCACCATGGTCTCCATAGCTACAGATCCCGGTTCACACTCTCCACATCCTGTGATACCATGCTGTTGCTGCACTGTTGTCTGTACAACCTTTCTCCTACTTCTGGTTCAAGCAGTTCCCAGGATTAGGGAGACACCAGGTGTCTTATTGAACTAGGTTGTTGTTGGTGTGGATCTTGCCAGAACCTGTCGGCCATTAGGTCTGGGGGTCACATGGACCTATTTTGACCTGTACGATGCCAAAGTTGGTATTATATTTCCTGTGGGACCAGTGCAAATGCACTGAGCTCAGTAAGTTCAATCCCAGCTCAGTAAGTTCAATCCCAGCTCAGCACTTGCACAGCTCAGTGTTGTCCCTGCAGTCTATAGTGTTTCCACACTGTACAAAATGGCGTCTGATGTGCCACTATTAGAGTTCTTGATCTGCTGGCTGATAGGTCTGAGGGTTACCCGGACCTATTTTGGGTGGAACCTTTAGGATGCCACATTGTTGCAGTTCACTGAGCCAAAAATGAGTTCACTTCCAGCTCAGTGCATGCACAGTACTATCCCAAAGCCTTTGTCTCCCTATACAAAAAATGGTACCCGATTCACTCTATGGAGTGGACTGGGTTATGAAAACCACCCTATTCCCACACTACCTAACACCTGCCACTCTGTCTCTGTTCCTGGTCAAATCAAACAGACCAGCAGGACAGGCAGTTCTTTGGATTCACCTTCTGAGTTCCTGGTGAACGTCCCTTCCCACCTTGTTGCTGGTGGAGTTCAGATCGCCATTCACTGAATGCCGCTGGAGTATCAGTCACTGCAACACCACACTGTTGTGTATGCTGCTTTCCCTTGTCTGTCAGTCTCCAGGTGCCCCTCCACTGTCATTCTGTCCTTTGCTTTTTTCTGTAATGTGCCCTCTCTGCTTCACACTGGCTAATGTCTCTCCTTCTGTTTAAAGTGTCCTTACCCTATTCCGCCATCTTGACTCTATATAATCATATATAAAACATATATATAATAACCATATAATTCTTAATACGTCACATTGTTGAGTGTTTATTTTCAGGTAGGTATTAAATGATTTTCATTATATCATTGAAGTGTGTTTGTGTTCTCCAGACTTGGAAGCATGCAGGCTACACTGCTTCCCAGCTTCTGAGGGGTCAGGCATCCTCCAGAGGGCTCCTGCAGGAGGGGAAGTTACCAGGACAGCAGTGGCTGAACTACCTGGAGCCTCTCTCACAAGCAGCTTTTTTTTTTAATTGAGAGGAGGAGAGACAGAGAGGAAGGTTAAGACATTGATTGTGAAACCAGCATGTCTCTCTCATTCTGTCTCTGCTATTCTACCTATCAAACAAATAAATCTTCTCTTAAAAAAGGAAAAAAAAATCATGGTTATGTCTGTGATTCAATAACATCATTCCTTTGTTATTTAACTAGACTTAAAGTCAATCATTAAGAAAATGGGGAAATTGACAACCTCCTCTCTTTACCCTCCTTTTTGAGACTTTCTGGTGTCAGGTACTATTCCCATTCAGCTAGTATGGCTCAAACACAGTTTTCTGTCTGACTCTGGCACTATTGGCAACCTGCCTTGTCATGAGAAAAGGCCGGAGGCCCACCGCATCCCCCTTGCTTTCACTTCCCAACTGAAAAAGAACTGGAGAGGAACCTAATCTAGTCCCGTGCTGTTAACATATACATTGGAAGATGAGCTCAAATCCATGATTTCATATATTAATGCTACATCCCATACCGAATTTATTAGCCTTAATTCTTGGTAGTTTGCATATAAGATATTCTAAGTCTCATAAGATGGAAAGTCCATGGAACCACAGACAAGTCACCAAATACTAGTAAGAGCAGCATTCAAGAAATCCCAGTCCTCAGATCCCATCTTGCTTCTTCAGGAGGACTTTCTAGGCCCATTTGAGGGACTTAAATCAAACACTGCAGGGTCAGTCATTTGTCAAACATTCATATGTATATAGGAGACCCAGGCATACAGAAAGACATGGTCTGTGCTCTCAGGATGCTTACCAGCTAGTACACTAAGTACTTTAAGAAAATCACTACAAAGACATAATTTAAAACTCCAGTGTTATGAAGTCACATACATTTGTCTGGGTCAAGGAAGTTATCACAGGCTTCTTTGGAGAGGTGATTCTTAAGGTCCTAATAATTCTCAATCTTACAAGGAAGAGGAGTTGGAACTAAATGATCACAATTGCAGTCAGGGAAGAATCAGCAATAGGAAGAACATCTTGGTCAGTGACACACATGTGTGCCAAGACCTCAGGGAAGCGAATAGCCTGGTACATTTGGGCAACCAGAAGATGGTCATTGTGACTGGAGCAATGGAGAGGCAGTGGGGGTAGGGAAGCATTGGTGAGAGATGACACAGTACGGGTAGGCTGGTAGCAGGCCACACAGGGACTTACAGGATTGTGATCTGTCCTGACAGCAATGGGAAGTCAATGGATTTTAAGGCTATTTATTTCTACTTATTTGAAAGGCAGGGAGGCAGAGACAGAAGGAGATTTCCATCTTCAGGGTTCATTCCCCCAATGCTCACAACTGCTAGGACTGAGCCAGGTCAAAGCAAGGAGACTGGAACTCAATTTGGGTCCTCCACAAGAGTATCAGGGGCCCAAGCATTGGAGCCATTATCTGCTGCCTCCCAGTGTGAGCAATAACAGAAAGCAGGAATTGGAAGCAAAAGGAACAACTTACACTGTGTGCTACGATACGGGTGTAGGAACCCCAAGTGGTGGCTTCACCACCATGCAAAATGTCTATCCCCTAAAAGATGTTGAAACCATTGGGGTTACGTGACTGGATTTATGGTTTGCAAACATCACTCTGGCTGAAGCGATGAGGATAACCGGAAGTAGCAGGTGTGTCAGAATTAGGCCAATCGACCTGCAGCATCTGGGAATGTGGTAGAAAGCCACATTTTTAAACTATACCCCACAGCACTTGATTCACAAAAATGTAAGGATGGTTGAGTAAATCAATATTAGCATTTCCAGTGAAAATGATGTAACATTTGAGGACTCGGAATAGAATATTGATACCAACACGAGATGAGTTGATTTCAACTTTCTCTGGCAACCTGGTGACCACAAACACTGGTATACTTACCTCTTTTATTTTTTCCTTACAAATCTTATACTGCTTCTTCTGACTTTCTAAGAAAGTTGTCAAATCTTTCTTCTGCTGGGCCAAGATCTGTTGCTGGAATTTCTTTTCATCTGCTGCAGCTACCTTTGCCTGGTAAAATAACACATATGAGCTGGATGAATTTCCCTTTTTGTATGCAGCATTCAGCTGAATATATTCTCTAATATATTAAAACTACTAAGTGTTGAATAGTATTTTGAAAATAATTAGTGAAAAACAACGTGCAGAAACTTATTTTGATACTCATATCTCATACAAAAATTTTTTTCCACTGTCTTTAAAAGATTTCTATTTTATTTATTTGAAAGGCAGAAATTACAGATTGAGAGAGTGGTCTTTGAGCCACTGGTTTCCTCTTGAAATAGCCACAAGGGCCAGGGCTGGGTTGGTACAAAACCAGAAGCCAGGTGTATCTTCCAGGGATCCCATATGATTGTGAGGGCCCAAGCAGTTTTAGGCCATCCTCCACTGCTTTCCTAAGCTACCAGCAGGGAGACGGATCAGAAATGAAGCAGCTGGGATTTGAACTGGCGCCCATATGGGATACCAGTACTGCAGGTGGCAGTTTAACTGGTTATGCTGCCAAAGCACTGGCTGCAGACTCAACCTTCTTCTCCAGAGGTCACTACAGTTAGTATTAGGTTATCCTTTTGCAACTGAAACACAATTGTATAAATGCTCAAAAAACATACAAAACCTGCAGATGGATGCTTATAGCAGTGTTACTGATAACTGCTAGGTCTTGAAAGCACCCAAGATGTCCTTCAGTAAGCAAATGGATATATAACCTAGGGCTCAGATAAGGAGATATTGATTCTTCAGCTCTGACAAGAAATGAATGAATAATCCACAGAAGACACAGAGGAGACTTCACTGTCTGTGTCTGTGTGTCGTGGAAGGAGCCAATGTCCTGAGCTGGATGGTTCCAACCACATGACATTCTTGCAAAAGTAAAACTAAGGATACAGTCTTCCGTGGTAGTCAGGGTTTGGAAATGGGCTATGGGTAAGTGGACTCTCAAGGCAGTAAAACTGTGCTTTATACAAAAAGTTTTTAGCACTGAAAATACATTCCCAATTATGAGAAAATTATAAAGATGATTCATAAACATGTCTCATTGAACACAAAAGGATTTTTTCATCATATTTTTGGTAGCCATAGGGTTATACTATATTATAAAATTGACAATCATACTGGCTATTATTATTTCAAGAATCAAACTCTGGTGGATGATTCCTAGTGGAATCATCTTAAATTTAATAGGGAAGCTATTGACGTTTTGTTTTCCTAGATATTGTATACAATCCACAACAATCAGATGCCATATAATTGTGGGGAGTCTTAAGTGTTTCATCAAACACAACCCCAAAACACAGTAATCCAATAAATGTTGGCTCTGGCAGGTGACAAAATTTGTTTCAGGGAACCTACGATGAGGCATGACATACGACAAGGGACTTATGAGATGGGAAGTTGGTCTTCATAAGCTTATGTATGTTTTGCTTCCATTATCAACAAATCATCCACTAGGAACAATTCTCTGCATAAATTCATCATGTCAAACTCCTGAGAAAGAAACTGATGAGTCTTTCAGTAGTATTCCTGTTTGATAGTGGTTTTGTGCTGCATGAGATGATGGCTGTGTGGGAATGCTTCTTCTTAGTCGGATGTCTGCTTTCACATGGGGAGACCCTGGAAGCCTGTCCCCACTTACTCAGGGACTGCACGCTCTCCACAGCTTTCCACGCTGTGTGCGTCTTATGGGTGTGGGATGGCAAGGAAGATGCCTCTATTTTAGCCCTGCATGTAACTGGGTGAGCAAGTCTCCACATCTGCAATCTACTCCCCCTTTACTTGTACCCAGACTACCGCCAAGGGAATGATGCTCCACTGTATATAAATGGACAAGAATGTCATATAGACCTACTAGGTTAGCTTTAAATACAATTTATTTTTAAGGTACTGCAAGAATTCTTTAAATTTATTTATTTGATAAGCAGAGAGACAGACAGACAGAACCATCTGCTTGGTTTACTCTCCCAAGTCCACCACAGCTGAGGATGGGCTGGGGTTGAAGCCCAACACTCAATTCAGGTCTCCAAAATGGACAGCAACAACCCAACTACTGCTGCCCTTACTGCTGTCTCTCAAAGTGCACATTAGCAGGGAACTAGACTCAGGAGCTGAAGGTCAGGTACTCTGATGTGTGAGCATCTCAGCTGCTAGTCCCAAACGTCCATTGCCATTCCTGAATGAAGATTTTAAGTAACCATATAGGACTTGGGAACTCTGCTCCCTTAGCTCCCAGCAATAATGCCACTTCATTACCCGCAGCCACCCCACTTCTGCCTCCTCCTATCATTTGGCACCGCCCAGTCTGAAGGGCATGTGTGTGTACTGACCTCCTTTTCTATGATAGCTACTTGCTTCTTGGCCAGCTTCTCCAGCTCGATGGATGAGTTGTTGGCATGTGTCTCCACCTCTTTCTGCAGCTTGAGGCGGTGCTCGTCCATCTCAGCCTTCAGCTTGTTCTCCAGGGCGATCAGCTGCTTCTGGTGCTGGCGCCGCATCCGCTTATAACCTGACATCTGTTCCCGCAGCTCGTTCTCCTGCTCATGCTCATGGATCTGCCGTGTAACCTGAATGGGGTTGGGGAACAGGACTCAGGTCACCAGGTTCGGGAGAGACAAACTCTGAGGCAAGGAAGAACTGTCTGGGAAAATGGTATGTGTCAATGTCAGTTCATCTCCTCTGTACTAAATGCTCACCTGGAGTTAACACAGTACCAAGTACAAGCTTCTCTCATCTTCAAAACCACCTCACTCACTTTCCTCATTTAAGAGGCAGGTGTTACTACATTCATTTCATAGATGAAGACATTGACGTTTGAGGAAAGTAATGTATCCATTCAAACAAACTCTGCTTCATATTTTTTAAAGATTTATGAATTTATTTATTCAAAAGGCAGAATGATGAAGAGTGAGAGAGCAAGGGGAAGGAAGAGAGAGAGTTCGAGAGAAAGAAAGATCCTACTCATCAACTCATTCCCCAGATGGTCACAACAGTTGAGGCTTGGCCTGGCCAAAGCCACGAACCAGGAACTCCACCCAGGCCTCCCAAGTGGGTGGTAGGAGTGCAAGACCTTGGTTTATAATTGACTGTTTTAGCAAATGCATTACCTGGGAGCTGGCTGGGAATCAGAGCAGCAAGGACTAAGATCACACTCCAATTTATGGGCTACCAGCACTGCAAACTATGGCTTAACCTGTGGTACCCTGAGGCCAGCCCCCACTTGCACATTTTTGATATTCTGTAATATTCACATATGCTCACAATATCAATAAAGAATGGAGTTGAGACCTAGGCCCACACTATTTCCACCAGATCAGGATTTCTCACCCTTCATGATGCTGACAATGAGCTGGATACATTCTTTGTCCTGAAGGACTGTCCTGTATACCGCCAGACATTTAACATAATGTACCCACTGGCCTGTACCTACTGAAGGCCAGAGGCATCTCCCAAGTCATGACTAAAAAAATTTTCCTTAGATACTGACAAGTGTCTGAGGTGCAGAAAAATCTGTTTCCAGCTGAGGACTATGGTACTGTGGAATGTGCTCTCTCTCTCTCTCTCTCTCTCTCTCTCGCTCTCTGCATTTTTGAGGACCATGTCTTGAACAGTCTCAGAAACCCTGTTCTTTCAAAAATAGTCTGAACAGGATTTATTTCCTATTCTTATTCATTCATTCATTTGAAAGGCAGAGTCAGAGACAGAGAGAGAGAGAGAGAGAGAGATGGGGAGTGAGACAGGGAGGGAGGGTTTGAAAGAGAGAGATCACTCATCATTTGGCTTACTCCCCTAATGCCAGCAGCAGATGAACCTGGCACAGGCTGAAGCCAGCAGTCTTTCCAGTCTTTAGCATGAGCACAAACACTTGGATAGTTCAGATTCAAACCGGGCACACCAAATGCCTGCCCCTACTTTCTATTCTTTTTTAACATTAATTTTTTAAAATCTCTTCAATCTTCTATTCTTTTTAAATAATTAAAAAATTTTTTTCATTTAAAGTCAACAAAAGTACAGCTTTAAAAACATAATCATATGAGTTGAGAGAGAGAAAAATCTTTCTGTATATCATCTGTCTCCTTCAAAACAGATATTAGCAAATGACAATACAGTTGCTTGTTCTGCTGGAAAAGAAAGCATTATGACTTTTGGATGATTTCTCTTATCAGTAACTTTTCCTAAACTCATTCTCAAGTTAAATATTCAACAAACTAAGGAGTCAAATGTACATTTGAGGACTTTCATCTCATTAAATCCTTTTTTGATTTCCCAGTCCTCACTTCAATTTATCATACCTCTGTATTTTCCTGTTAAGGTTCTCTGATTCTCTCTCTTTCTCTCTCTCTCTTTATTGTAGGGATAAACTTAATTAAGGATTATAACTTTAGTTTTGTTCTTGACCAAATGTCTCAGTGATTTCCATTGACTATAACTCTCTTCTCCCCAGCTGAACCCCTAAACAAGTTTCACTGGAAATTTTCACACTATTATTAACTGTGTGTACTATTTCAGTTTATAGGTCAAAGTGCATTTTTATAGAAAAATGGTTTGTTTCACTGTTCATTTTAGAATGTGCCCTGTTGTACAAATCTGAGCCCTTACTATGGAGACAGTGCTATTCTGTAACTAGATAGCATTATCAAAGCAAACCATTAAACATTAGCTGAACTTTGGAACCTTGCCAGCTGAAACTAACACTAGGTTTCATATTCATTTTTCCTTTTTTGAAGGACAATCCTTTTTAAAGTATAAGGGATAAGAGTAGACCAAAAAAAAAAAAAAAAAGATAACATTACCAAAAAGGCACCTAGTAGTCTCTAAAGAAAATGAATGATCTATTTTGTTATCACAATAACATTTTTAAATGAATTTATTTCTTGATGAGAGGAAGGAATAAAGTGAGTTGATATATATGTGTGTAAATTTCATTTCCTTGTCTTTATACTCTCCTGAAGTTCAACTGCAGTGAAAAAAATGTCAATTATAAAGAACACACCAGTCAGTCCTTTCTGAATAAACTTGCTTTTTTTTTTTTTTGAACATGAACATGGCAGTAAAGTCTCTGTTCCAGGATCATGAACTTGAGGTACGTTTTATCCAGATAGCTAATTTTTGTGGGGTCATTTTAGTATTCCTTCTTTAATCAAATTCCTAAAGCTAAGGCATGCCAAATTCCAAACCTATTATGATACATTTAAAATCTGCCATAAGCATTGGCTTGTGTCCAATAAAATATTCTTGGACGAACATTTCCCTAAACTAAGAAGCCTAAAGAACACAGAAATGAGTTGGGTCAAGACTATTTTCTGACTTAACTGGTGGCTGAGTTTTTGTAAAAAGTGGCGTTACTGCCTAGCAGGCCATACTTGGTACAAAACATGTGGCAAAGACAAATTATGACATTCTACTCACTATTTCAGCGGAAATTTTGATCTGAATAATTCCCTTAACTTGATAATCATTTTTTTTCACTTCTAATATTACTTATCATTTGTCATAAACTTTCTAAATCTCTTTGGGTACACACAGAGATACTAACTTGTATAACTCTATGCATAAGCTAGATAGGTGAATTTATTAAATAAAAATATAGCCAAATGGTGATGGATATATGACTGTTTAAGAAGAACTATAGCATAGTAATAATATAGGGGAACTCAGCAAGGGGAGAGAGGACTTGGGAAGGGAGTAAGGGAAATCCCAGGGTCTTTTATTTGTATCATAAAATGATAATAATAATAAAAAAGGTAAAATTTAAAAAATTCTAAAAATACAATTTAAATTTTAAAAAAGTGGAAGAACTTCCCTCTGTCTCTCCTCCTCTCTGTAAACCTGCCTTTCCAATAAAAAAAAAATACATCTTAGAAAAAATACAAGGATAACGTTGATCAGAACCAGACAAATAGACCAATAACTCTATTAAAAGTATTCTTGTACTGTTCTGTCAGATAAAGTCATAACTGATTCGTCTAATATGTGGTTCATTTGATTTAAACATTTCTAGAGAAAACTGATGATTTTAAGATGCTTGACCTTAAAAGGCTCATTAATCTAGTAAAAGAAACACTTTTAAAAGAACACAGTACATGAAAATATCTTCAAAATATTCATGGAGGGCCTGGCGGCGTGGCCTAGCAGCTAAAGTCCTCACCTTGACTGCCCCGGGATCCCATATGGGCGCCGGTTCTAATCCTGGCTGCTCCACTTCCCATCCAGCTCCCTGCTTGTGGCCTGGGAAAGCAGTTGAGGATGGCCCAAAGCTTTGGGTCTCTGCACTCTTGTGGGATATCCAGAAAAGGTTCCTGGATCCTGGCTTTGGATCGGCATAGCATCAGCCGTTGCGCTCACTTGGGGAGTAAGTCATCGGACAGAAGATCTTCCTCTCTGTCTCTCCTCCTCTCTGTATATCTGACTTTCCAATAAATAAATAAATCTTTAAAAAAATATTCATGGAAAGGACACATTATGAAAAAAAATAAAAACTGTGACCAGCACTGTGATGCACTGGGTTAAGCTGTCACCCTCCATGCCTGGTTTCATATCGGAGTACTGGTTCAAATTTTGGTTATCCTGCTTGTGATACAGTTCCTAGCTAATGCACCTGGGAAAGCAGCAGAAGACGGCCCAAGAATTCGGACTCCTGCAACCCATATGGGAGATCCAGATGGAGCTCCTAGCTCTAGACTTCTGCCTGTCCCAAGCCCAACCACTGCAGTCATTGGAGAATTGAACCAGGAGATAGAAGATCTTGGACTCCCTCTACCAGTCTGCCTTTCAAATAAATGTTTTACATAATTTTTGTAAAAATTCTGTATGGACCCAGTATAATGACCTAATGGCTAAATCCTTGCCTTCCACGCACCGGGATCCCATATGGGTGAGCGCAACGGCTGGAGCTGAGTTGATCTGAAACCGGGAGCTTCTTTTGGGTCTCTCAAGCAGGTGCAGGGTCCCAACGCCCTGGGCTATTCTCGACTGTTTTCTCAGCCTACAAGTGGGGAGCTGTATGGGAAGCGGGGCCACTGGGATTAGAACCAGTGCTCACATACAAGGTGAGGACTTTGGCTACTACACTACCATTTGGGCCTAAAATAAATAAGACTTGCAGTATAGACGTGAAAGTGCCTAGCCAGGTGCCCGACATGGGGAAGATGCTAAATGCACACTGGTTTACTTCCTTTTCCCACAAGGCTCCAAGAAAGACGTCTCCTTCCTATCTCCAGCATTTTGGGTGATGGGGACATATATCAGAATATGCGCATTCAACACAAAGGGCAACTTTAACAATAAAACTATGCGTGTATGTAGGTTATGCATTATAGCATTCAGTATGCATACGTTCTGAACTGCAAATATTAATTATATAACTGGAATATGTAAAAAATAACAAATAGAGAAAAGATAAGGAACCATTAGAAAGCAACACTAAAATTTTCTTCTGGAAGCCTTTATGGCTATTTAATGCCACCCTACTTAATTCCAGTAAAATTTGACCCTAAAACAAATCACCTCATGCAAAGTGTTCAGGCTACAATCTAAAAAACAGCACAAGACTAATTAGTGACTTAGT